TTTAGCATTGCCATGTGCCAAGGATTATCCTGGCACCACTGTACGTTGTATGGAACATTATACTTCCTTGGCACTATTCATAAATGCCTGCTTAACTGGTAGTAAGATCTTCTCTTTAAACCATCCATGTCTTTAACCTCTTGGAAAACAACTGAGTTGAGAAATAAGACTCTTTTAAAAAGCATCAGAGAAGATAGCTCCCATCTTGCATATACTGTGCCTCCCCCTAGATGAGAGACTGTTGGCTTAATAAAGTTACTTACTGAGCTGATAACATCTTTACCCCCAGAAACTTTGTGGGTTCAGTGCTTGCAGCATCTTCATTAAGGAATGTGCTATAGGGAGCAGCCTGTAGCTGGGCTTTATAGTTACATTGTAGCTAGACCCACTGTCAGTTTTTACTCCTCATGATCCAAAAAGAGTTTCGTTTCTCTTTTAAAGATTTTATATTTTATAATTCTCTGGTAAAAAATCCATATAACCCCTGCGGATCAAGTCACTGTACAATCTTTATTCTTTCTTTATGCCAGCACCCATGTGGGCCTGTGCAGACCCCCTGACTTTCACATCCGGTTCTTACGTTCTTTTCTTGGGGTTTTTTCTTTTTACAGGCCCTGTCTTGCAAGTCTGTGTTCAGGTCCATTTTTCTTTGCATAATGCAAAGAATGATTAAAAAAAAGGTTGGCAATATAAGTCAGTTACATATTTGTACCCATTCCAAAGAAAGATAATCCAACAGGATACAAAAAATAATTGAACAGTATCATTAATATTACACATAAGTAAAAGGTTGTTGTTTTTAAGGTAATTCAAACACTGTTGCAGCAGTACATTGACAGAGACCTGCTAGAAATTCAAGCTAGATTCAGAAGAGGATATGGAACAAGGGATATCATTGCTGATTTCCTATTATGTATTCTTAGTTAAAGCAGAGAATACCAAAATGATGTTTACTTGTATTATATTGACTATGCATTTATGATTGTGTAGATTATAACACATTATGGATAACGTTGTGAAGAGTGGGTATTTTGTAACGCTTAACTGTTGTCCTGTGGGACATGTACATCCAAAAAACAGTTGTTCAAACAGAACAAGGGATATTGATTGGTTTAAAATCTGTAAAGGTGTTCATCAAGACTATATCCCTTTGCCTTGGGTTCTCACGTTGTATGCTGAGCAAATCTGAACTGCTGGAGTTTGTGAAGGTGTTAGGATTGGAGAAGGGCTGACTGACATTCTGTGATCGGCACATGACACAGCAGTGCGTGGAGAAAGTGAGGAGAACTGGAAGCACCTGCTGGTTCAGACTACAGCCCTCCAGTACGGATTACATCTCAATATAAAGAGCACAGGGAGACCAGTAAGTTACATCGTGATGAAAGGAGAGAAGACTGAAGTTGTTAGGATTCCCTTTGCTTAGACCCACTGTCAGCGCCCGTAGAAGTAGTAGTTAAGAAGTCAGATAATTATATTTTGCAAATCTTCTGTAAGACACTTGTTTAAAGTGTTAAAAAGCTAAGATGTCGCCTTGAGCGACTGCATGGGAAAACCGGGCAATGAACAGGGAAGACTAAAGGAGAACTGATGCCTTTAGATTATGGTGTTGCCAAAGAACAACAAATAGGCCATCAACTGCCAGAAGAAGGAACAGATTGATGTTGGTAGAAATATAACCAGAATGCTCTTTAGAAGCAAGGATGGAAAAAAGAAAGAAAAACAAAACAAGGATGGTGAGATTGTCCCACATACTTTGGCCATGTTATCAGGAGAGATGAGACCCGAGGACATGATCCTTGGTAAACTGGATAGTCAGTGAATAAAGAGGAAGACCGGCAGGGAGATTGACGGACAATAGGCTCAAATTTAGAAAGGATTTGGAGGATGGCTCAGGATCAGACAGTGTTGCTGCTATTGTGTTGAACCAACTTGATGGCAACTAGCAACAACATTTCCTTTAACACAATCAAGGTCCTCAAATAGAAGGAAAGTCTTAGAAGCTGTGAAAACGGCCGAGAGGCCACATCTGACTTCCTTTGACTACACAAGAGAAGAGTTTCTGTAGAAATGTTGATGTTAGAGATGAGTCGGTTAGAAACAGAAGGTAAGAAGTTATGAGCGAGGGTGTGCAATCGTGGCGCTGCATAATCAGTGGGAGGCCTCAGCTTTCCAGAAGTAATTATACTTAGGATGGCTGGTGAATGTTCAACAAACTTGATGTCTACATGGGAATGCCAAATTATTATTTACAGAGAAAACTATTACTGCTAATGGATTACAGTACTCACATTATCACATCAGCCTTTTCACTGTTTTGGGAAAATACAGATCTGTTTGAAACTATATTAAAATTGGAAATTGGTGAGTAGGACAATTGGTTGGATGATCTTAACAATGTTGTCAACCTTTGAAATAATGCCATTTACTGTTGCCAATTATAATACAATTAAAATGCTGTGATTCCTGTTAAAACAAGGAGTGGAGACCCAAAGCCCATTAGTAGGCCACTGGAGATCCCCTTGCAGAGGGGTCTCGAGGAGGAGATGAGCCAGTCAGGGTGCGATGTAACAACGATGAAAAATACACCTTTCCTCTAGTTCCTAATGTTTCCTCCCTGCTCCCACTACCATGACTCGAATTTGACCTTGCAAGTCTGGCTAGACCAGAGGATGTACACTGGTACAGATAGGAACTGAAAATCCAGGGAATCCAGGGCGGATGAGCCCTACGGGGCCAGTGGTGTGAGTGGCGAAACAGGGAGGGTAGAGGGAGAGTGGGTTGGAAAGAGGGAACCGGTTACAAGGAACTATATGTGACCTCCTCCCTGGGGGATGGATAACAGAAAAGTGGGTGAAGGGAGATGTCGGACAGGGCAAGACATGACAAACTAACAATTTATAAACTATCAAGGACTTATGAGGGAGAGGGGAGCTGGGAGGGAGGGGGAAAATGAGGACCTGATGCCAGGGGTTTAAGTGGAGAGGAAATGTTTTGAGAATGATGAGGGCAATGAATGTACAAATGCGCTTTACACAATTGATGTGTGTATGGATTGTGATAAGAGTTGTGTAAGCCCCTAATAAAATGATTAAAAAAACAAAGCAAAACAAAAAACCCCAACAAATGTGCTTTACACAATTGATGTATGTATGGATTGTGATAAGAGTTGTATGAGCCCCTAATAAACCGAATTAAAAAAAACGAGCAGAAAAAAATGTAGATAATCACACACACAAAAATAAATAAAATGCTGTGATTCCTGTTTAAACATTCTCTGTGGGTTCCCAGTGGTTGGCGGGTCAGGAGATGGGGGGGAGGGTTTGGTGCTGATGCTCCCCTCTACTTAGGTACACTGGAGGGACCTAGTCCTGTACTAGAAAGGGTGGGAGGGTTATATGTCGGGGCGGAGGACTGCAGCCACCCCTTTGTCCTCTGGTCTGGGCTGCTAACTCTTCCTCCAAGCAGCTGTTAGTTTCCAGGCTCTCGGCCTGGAATTTCAAACCTTTCAAGACTTGCAGTACATCATCTGTTCCAGTGGGTTCCTCCCCAGCGTTTGGGGTAGCAGCAGGTGGCAAGGACTAAGGAGGGGAGTGCTGCAGGAGGCATGGGTATGGGCAGCAACCGACCGCCACAGAGCATCTTGACTCCAGCTCCCAAACCTCAAAGTCACCATTTGTACCACAGTCACCATTTGTCCAGCTCCCAGGTCCCAGGTCTGCTCAATTACCAATCGGGGCCTTGAAGTTGAAAGCACAGTTGTACTAGGGGTTCCAAGGTCTGAGGACACCTTCATGTACTTACTTCTTACATAACGCCAGTTTTGCACAGTGCCCTTACAGCATCCCAATAATCATGAGGCAGGTGTAGGACTGGGCACTTTTATTGTCCATGGGGTCTCCGTGCATCTGAGCTGACTCACAGTGACAACAGCAAAATTTTGTTTATGCATGTTCTGAAGCTCTTACAGCTCACTCTCACATACATTATTGTAGAAAAGAACCTAACACATTAAGTGCCATCAAGCAAGCACCTCTAATACATAGTGACTTTATGTACCAACAGAAGGAAATGTTTCTATTGTTTTTGCCCATTTATACTCTGTTTGACAAAGAATATAAAGATTTTCTTTATTTTTTCTTCAGAATTTTCTCTCTCTGTGGGGCTGGGGAAGGTGATGAACATCTTATGCAGTACACACCAAGTTCACCCTTTACCCTTGCATTTTCTCAGATTGAGAAGCATATTAAGGAATTTGTTTTTCAAATTATTATTTTACCACATACTCTTCTCATTAAGAAAAGTTCCTGGTGTGTAGTAAGAAAAAATAGTTTTAATTTTATTCTTTAGGAGGGAGCTTTTTTTCTTTAAAGAAATATTTATTTCTTGATACTTAGTCTGTTCTCTTAAACTTGGACTTTTAAATCTTTGCTGCATTTTAGAATAACTTGGCTTTTTGCTTGGGGAATAACTTGTTACTGATTCTTAAATTTGAACTATTCACTTATAATAATTGCTGTTTTGTGTGTTTTGATCTAAGCTGTTTGGAGGACTAGTGACATACATCAGTTTTTATACTCTGCATTTTAGATAACTGCCATCTATAACATCTGTCGTAATTGTCACTATTTGTCCTTTTTTTTCCTTTTGTTTACCTGGTTGTTAATTAACTTTTTAAATTAATAAATCCTATTCAGATAAAGCTGAAGAGATCCCACAGAGCTAAAATTGTGTCCTTCTTAGGTATAATTCTTTCTCCTATATTGTATTCTTCTCATGTTCTTGTAGCACTCTGATTCTGTCTTGATTCTGTTTGTTCACTTCTCAGAATATCAAAAATTACACATTTGAAATTTAGAAATACGGATTTTTCTTTTTGTCTTGAAGGGACTTTTTTTAAAGCAATGTTTTTATGTGATTTCAAAATTTAATTTGTAATCTTTTTATAAAGAAAATATAAACAACCTGTGTAAATAACAAAGTAGTGTAAATTTGACTTTCAGTGCAATGCGTGTTTTACTATCTAAATTACCAAGACCCTGGATTGTGGATGAAAAGAAAGATGATGGTTATACTGCCTTGCATCTGGCTGCCCTTAATAACCATGTAGAAGTGGCTGAACTCTTAGTACATCAGGTAAGAAAAAGTTTTAATTGTAACAATTTCGAACCATTGCCATTCATTTGTTTAATCCTTCATCAATTACTTATTAATAGGTTATAATAAAAACTGCTCACGATGATGCAAATTCAGATATACAATGCATGTTTCATCTTTGTCTAACACTGCTTCTTAAATAGGAGGCAGGGCTCTGGATCCTTAAATGTCTGTTATTTTCTCTACACAGTCTTCCCACAGTAGGCTAACAAAATGGGCATCAGCTGGCAGGATTTCCCAGAATTGCTATCACTCTTAGAGAAGTAAGTTATCAGTCAGGACCAGTAACAGTGTAGTCTGTGTTCATGGTTCAGATGAGGTGGCCAGTTGTCGTCAGATGATGCCAGATTGCAGCGAGGGGAAGGGGATCTGGTTCGTGAGTAGTGCTGGAACCTGGAATTCCGGGCTAGAGAGAAATACCTTAGTTATTTTATTCATCCAGAATCAAAAGGACCTTGCCTATTTATGAGACTAGATTTGAGGGGTGGGGGTGGGGATCACCTTTTTGCTGTTTTATGAAGGTTTAGTATGTTCAGCAAAGTTTTAAAATTTATAATAAAGCATATAGCCATATAAATGCATTAAAATTGTCAAAGAATTATCTGTAATCTCAGATCATTCTAAAAACTAAAGAGGGTAAAGAAATAACTAAAAAATAAAGCTACCTTTTTTCCTCTGGTATTTTTACCTTTTGCTATTGAAGGTAGTGTCCTGTGAAGTATTGTTGATTATAAATTCCTATTCAAAACTAAGTAGCTGATGCTAAATCACATTGCCTAGGCAATTGTTGCTTTTTATATTAAGTCTTAGAATAAGTCCCTTAACTTACTTTGAATTCATTTAGTATTCCAGATTGTTTGCCTCTCCATGTTAAGTCTTAAAATCAGCATTCTTAGTTTCTATTGAAGAGCCAATTTGGAGTTAGCATTCTACATATGTTATAGGTTTATCCTGTAATATTTCATATTTTTCATGCCCTAGAATAGAGGTAGAAAAAAACCTGTTTAGAGGTTCTGTTCTGTATTTTGTTCTTTTTGTGTTCTTAGATAAAATCATCATAGTAGAAACACATATTTTTGGAACATGCTGTTCTTGAGAAATGCTGTTGCCTCATCCAGTTCTCCCTATGTAGCCAGTAACTACTATCATGAAAACAACTGCAGCAACTGACAGTGGGGAAAGTGGTTAGCAATGTCCAGTGTTCCATACAGATAGTTATTTATTTACTTATTTTTTTAAAAGATCGTTTTATTGGGGGCTCTTACAGCTCTTATAACAATCCATACATCAATTGTATCAAGCATGTTTGTACATATGTTGTTATCATTATTTTCTAAACATTCATTTTCTGTTTGAACCCTTGGTATCAGCTCCTCTTTTTTCCCCTCCCCCCATCCTTGTGACCCTTGATAAATTATAATTATTATTTTCATATTTTACACTGATTGCTGTTTCCCTTCCCTCATGGTTTCCGTTGTTCATCCCCGTGTGTGTGTGTGTGTGTGTGTGTGTGTGTGTGTGTGTGTTCATGTGTTGATCATTGTCATCAATCAGTTCTCCCTTCCTCCCCTCCCTTTTCTACCTTCCCTCTACACTTCTAGTATCGCTACTCTGATTCCTGTTCTGGAGAGGTTTATCTGATCTGGATTCCAAGTGTCATGAGCTCTTATCTGTACCTGTGTACATGCTAGTCCACATTGAAAGGCGGGACTGGGGTCATGATAGTGGGGAGTGAGGAAGAATCAAGGAACCAGAGGGATATTTTATGTCCCATTAGTGCTATACTGCCCCTTGGTTGACTCATCTATTCCTGTGACCCTTCTGTGAGGGGGTGTCCCATTGTCTACAGATGGGTTTGGGGTCCCTGTTCGGACCCCCCTCGTTTTCAACAATATGTTTTGTTTGTTTTGGGTCTTCTGATGCCTGTCAATGGATCCTATCGACACCTCATGATCGCACAGGCTGGGGTGTGCCTCTTCCATGTGGGCTTGTTGCTTTGCTGCTAGATGGCCGCTTGTTTAATTTCAAGCCCGTAAGACCCTAGATGCTATATCTTTTGATAGCTGAGCACCCTCAGCTTTCTTCACTACATTTGCTTATGCACCCATTTGTCTTCAGTGATCATGCTGGGAGGGTGAGTATCACAGAATGCCAGGTTGTTAGAGCAAAGTGTTCTTGTGCTGCGGCAGGGTTTGAGCTGAGGCCCAAAGTCCGTTCACTACCTCAGTGTATTGCCATATAAATATATGTACAATGGCCAATACCTCTATTTTTATGAGTTATGTATTTACATATGTATACACCTGTGTTTATACCTCTATCCGTAGCTTTGCTTCCTAGATCTTTCCTGTTTCCTTTTACCTCCCTACTGCCCCACCATCATGCTCGCCCTTCTTCTGCCTTTTAGTACCGATACTTATTTTTTGTAATATTCTTTATGTAACAAAATGCTGGGGTTTTTTTGTTTTTGTTTTTCTCTTTTTTAACATTTTATTAGGGGCTCATACAACTGTTATCCCAATCCATACACACATCAATTGTGTAAAGCGCATTTGTACATCGTTTCTCAAA